ACTATCGATATCCAAGAATTTGAAGTCTTTATTTTTTATAAGTTAAGAAATTCACTACATCAAGTTATGAAACGTGATGAACTTTAATTTAAAAAAAAAGAATATTTAAATAGTATAATTTCTTATTGTTTATTCTCTGATGTTCGATCTAAGTGCTTGCCAGACAGTCGGACAAGTTGAATGATATAGAATGAAAAAGAAACTATGCTATTTTTCTTCAGTCACAACTTCTTTTGCGCATCATCTCACTATTCTTTCGTACCATTGTATTTTGATTCTTATTTTGAAATGCTTTCATCAATATTTAACAGGGATATTTCAGTTCTTCCTACAAATGTATGATCATTATAGGGTGTGTGTGTGTGTGGATATCACTAGAGAGAACACTCACATTCACAACCGCATTCAGATCAACACCTCCCGCCCACATCCACACCCCACACCCACACCCTCAAGATAGCAGAAAAACTCCGGAACCGATCGTTTTCTTGCCGTATTGTTCGACCTGGGTATACGTGATTCCCACATCTCAGCTCTTTGGAGCTGCGGTAACCAGCTGTTTTTGTGTTCTTTTGTTTTTATTTCATCGTAAAGTATTTTGTCGCATAAGATGAGCAATATGTGGTGTTTGCTTTTCTCCGAAATAGTCAGAAGGACAAAAATAATGTTGCGTTTGCTGCTTTTATTTATTTTTTATAGAGAATGGTTTTATGCAAACAGATGCGTTGTTTTGTAAAATTTAAAATTAAACTCAAAATAGGATCTTTTTCTATCAGAATGTTGAATACATGATATAGATTCATGATTCACTGTATCCAACCCATCAAACACATCAATAATATCAATGAGATGAATTTCCAAAGATAAGAAGTCGCCAATGTTCGAGATAATAGAGTGTTTCTTTAAATAAAAGATAAATATTCAAAAGACTATTTTCGAGGTAGCCTACAGAGATGTGCACCGCTCGCGCGGGTGCGGAGTGCGGGTGCGGAGCGACCGTTCTCGTTTTATTTACCGTCCAAGCGGCCGCTTGATCTTAATTTGAACGTTTTGTTATGGAATATCTTCTGAAGTTGAAACCGACGAACCTAAACTACAATTAATGTCGTACAGCAATATTGGTGACTTTTTTCTCTTAAATAATAATGATAAGTAACGAAGCATTGACTTCGTACTCATATTTGATACAAAGAGCATTTTAAAATCCTATGCCGGATGGATTTTGATTCTCAAAATACGTTTGTATTATACTGGGGGTTCGATGGCACCATTTATAGATTTTTTTGTTACTCCTGGTAATACAAATACTATATAGATAAAATGTTGACTTCAACTTTCTCTTTTCCATTACAATTTTATATTTTAAGTTGTCTATTTTTCTTTTTCTAATATTTATATAAATAGCAACAAGCGTATGAAATCCTCGGATAAAGATGACTATTTTTTATTAATCTGAAGTATGGAAATCGGCAGAAAAACTTTATGTGATACGGGTGTGGGTGTGTGGTGTGGGTGGGCGTGGGTGTGGGGTGTGGGTGTGGGTCTGGGTCTGGGTGTGTGGGTGGGGGGTGGGGTGTGGGTGTGGGTGTGGGTATGTGCCTTCTCTTAACCCACTCAAACCTACACCGACATCCACACCCACCCACACCCACACCCCACACCCACACCCACATCCACATCCACACCCACACCCACCCACCCCCCCACCCACACCCATCCACACCCACACCCACACCCTACACCCACATCCACACCCATCCGCACCCACACCCTCAAGAAGATCGATGTTAGAAGTGTACCTAAATCGTTCGATTTTCAATGATCTATTTAAAGTATATGTGATGTACAATATCGAATAAATTCACTATTCATCTAATGCATGCAGATATTAATCGAAAGAGACAGTCATCTGAGATTTCGAACACAAGTTTCACGTTGCCAAAAGAAAGGCTATAAATATTGAGGTAGAGAAGCTAAAAAGTAATGAACATTTTTATCAAAAATCGAAAAGGATTTTTCGAGTACGAACGAATTCATTACACTGAATAGAGTACGGTCTGCTGCTTCAAATATCATATTATGACTCAAGTCGAGTTGTCCACATTTATGCCACGTACAAGCACCGATTTTTGCACGATCATGCATCATCGGCTCGCGTATACATTTCACAAACCATGATATGAAAGGACCTAATGAGTCAACACTTTGAAGATACTGTTTATAGAAGGGATAAACTTTTTCTCTTGTTCCTCTGTCGCCTTCGTAAAAAAAGCAAGAAACAAAAAGCTTCATATCGACATGAAAATGCTGTTTATGTTCATGATGGTTGATCACAAGATCGAGCGAGAATTGACTTCAAATGTCTATGCCAGTTTATGATACGAGCTACTATACACTCTTATGAGATAAAAAACTTTTGTTTGAAATTCGTGAATTGTGGATATGAGTGTAGGCGAAGAAAAGATCCACACCCTGGTTTCGACACAATTCGATCCTTATGAAGTTTCAAGTTTCCGAATTCCATCCTTTCACACAAATTTTTTCACACTACGTTGTCTATTATTCACATTTGTTGAGGAATGGTTGACTGATTCTTGCAAATATGGAAATAGCTTGAAAATTGTTTTTTCATAACAACTATGATTGATCTTGAGAGTGTAGGTAATGGTGTGGATATATATTGCTCTATGAAAGAGCATCCTCAAGCATTGAAATCACTTCAAAAAATACTCAGCATCAAGCAAAAATGTTGCTCTCAAAATTATATATATAGATACGATTGATATTGGGAGAGCACTCGAAAGCATCCGAGCACTATAAAGACGCACTCAAATATTGTCAAACAGTACTCGAAGATTCACTCAAATCTCGCACAGAGAACAGTTCGGATGGAAAAGGTACCTCAATACCTAGCAATCTATATTACCTCTAAAACTTTAAAAAGTAACGGATGACTCATAATAGACGGCAAAACATGTTTCCATATTTCTAGGACTTTTTCCTACACTTTGAAGAGTCCGCTCTAGGCTTATCTGATAGAGAACCTTTTGCTCTTTCAAATTATCTAGTTTAATAAATATATTCACATGCTTTCTGTAACATTCAAAAAACTCGATTAGTTCAAGGGTCCATACTGCAACGCACAACTTCTATTCTAATTTTTCTAACACCAGCTTGAATTTGGTCAATTAAAGTTTTTTCGTTCTTTATTTTTTTCATTTCATCTGACAACATAAATCATACTAAATTCAATAGTCAAGAGAATTAAGATCCGGCGAATTCGATGATGAACGTGTTTTTAGCAAAGGGTACGAGTGTAGACGTGAATGAATTGAAGATCTACACCCTCAAGAAACTTTATCTGTTATCAAGTAAGAGGGTACACGTGAAGCATTCAATAGATTACTTCTAGTCGTCACCTAAAAGAACAGCAAGAAGAAGTCAAAGGAAAATTTAGGAATGATACAACATTGATGTCAATAGACTAGATATTCAAAACTAGCTTATTTAAATGCTACAATTCGTGTCCGAAAACAAATTTTTATCGTAATGCTATTTATGGGACATCCTATAGACTATTTATTATAAAGAATAATAATAATTAATTGGCATTCCTTAATCTCCGTAGTACGCGTACAGAAAACACTTTCTACAAGCTTGCATTTGTAGAGAAAATGTGAATTCACGATACATATATAAGTGATATTTCATGTCGTAACGATTGTGGTCAATGCGACTTCACGATACAAGTATACATACTTTCTAATAGCTGATTCACTCGTTCTAATCTCACTTTTATCATTCTAATAGATACATCATCATTTCAACATTCTCGACATCAGATCATGTCTGAGACACAATGTAGTTTTTTTTAATTTCAATATATTGAGTCGAACGCGTTTGAAGTGTGGCGTTTTTTGTTTTTGAGGCACGTGAAACGCGTTTTAGATGCATTTTAATGTAAAAAATATTTACATGAGAAAATTTTGACAATGCAAATGATACACTGGCATTTGTCTTCCTTCAATACTAATACCAAAGTATTAACATTTTTTGTAATACTAATACTTACCTGATGTGACTAGATATAATATAAAACGAACAGAAAAAGAAGAAACTGTGCGTACTTATTTCTTTATCGAGATTTTTCATGTTTCAACAGGAATCAAATCACAAGAAGGTTAAACTTTTTCATGCTTACTATTATATTAATGTCTTGGCTGTTGTGTATTTTAGTGTTTCTGGTCGTTCGCGTTTCTATTAGGTGCAACGATCGTGCTAATATCCTCTGTCGTGGTTATTAACAAACATTTCAAAGACAGTTCTGATCAAACGACGCCTTCAATAACAACCCGAAATGCCGATGATTTTCAGTCAAACAGTGACTATTATCAGTCATTGACAAATGTACTTGATTTTAATCAATCAGACAATTTTCATTTGGATCGTCTTTCTTCTTCTCGATTTCATCCAATAAATGGAAAGAGTGTCATCTATTTAAGCCGACAGTTTCATATGCCTAATTCACGCGAATCAGCAACAACATTACATTGGCTCGATTTGGAAACGAACAAGAATGTTCAGTTGACGCGACCAATTTGGGGAATACACGATGGACAAGTAAGAATAAAACTATTTCATATATGTAATTATCTATTCAAATTGTTGTTTTTCTTCAGGTTTTTTGGGTAGATAATGATACTATTCTCTTTTTGTCTAATCGAGCTTCATCATGTCTTCGTCAAATTTTTCAACTTACGCTTCCTGTCGACTTATTAAAAGCGACTACTACTTCCATTGAACCGATTCAAATAACAAATTATTCATTGAATATTGACAATCTATTAGTGAATCGACAAGCATCACGTCTTGCATTTAGCTGTCAAGTCTATCCAAATTTAACGATTGAAGAAACATTTGCTCGACAAACAGCCAAGAAAAACAGCGGTCGTTCAGTTTACCAATTCGATAAGCTATTCGTCTGACACTGGGATGAATATATGACAGGCCCACGTCATCATCCATTTCTTGTTGCAATCAAACGACAAGTCAACGGAATATTCCAATTTCCATCGGAACCGATTGACGTACTTTTCAATGTAGATAGTGATTCGCCAACAAGACCTTTTGGTGATGCTAAAGCACAATGGTCATTTAGTGCAACCGGTAATTCATTCTCATACACTCGACAATATGATGAAACGAGTGCAGTAGCTTGGACAACTAATTTGGATATATACACAGTGGATTTGAGTATGTTTGGACAACCGAGTGTGTGTATTACGTGCGATAATTTGGCAACTGATACCGATCCGTCTTATTCACCAACAGATGATCGTGTATTGATCTACCAATCACAGTCAAAACCAGGATACGAGTCTGATCAATTCAAAATAAAATCATATAATGGTCAGTCATATTATCTTTGTATAATTCAACACTTGCATTGCTCATTCTTCGTCAAATTTTAGGATCGAATTCGAAAATAACACTTCTCGGCAATTGGGACAGAAGCATTCAAGCTATAACATGGTCTCACGATGGTCAATCTCTATTTCTTGAACTTGGTGAAGAAGCACAAAATGTCATCTACCATTTATTCAATATATTCGAAAATCAATCACTCACTCGTCTAGTGAGCAGTGGTACATCGCGCGATGTTAATGTTCATCGTATAAACAGTCGAATGTTTGTTTTCACTCATCAAAGTTTCGTCGAGCCAATCAATATTTATTTATATTCATCGGATGGATCGATGCAATCCATCACTGATCATAATAAAGCTCTATTGGCCAAAGTAAAAATGAGTCCTGCAGCTGAGACGTTTTCGTTTTTAGGTGCTCGAAGTGATAAAGTTTGGAGATGGTATGTACCACCGTTGAGTGGTACTGACAAACGGGCTCCACTCGCTTTTTTCATTCATGGTGGTCCACAAAGTAGTTGGTACGATGCATGGGGCTATGGATGGAATTTTCAAACATATTCTTCTCAAGGCTACGCTATCATTGCTATCAATTTTCATGGTTCCGACTCGTATGGGCAAAATTTTACAGATAGTATTATAGGTAATTACGGTTCATTACCTTTCGAAGATCTTCAGTTGGGACTTACTTATGCTTTGAATAAGTTTTCATATATTGATCCGAACCGAGCTGTAGCATTGGGCGCTAGCTACGGTGGATATATGATCTATTGGATTGCTGGACATCCAGAAATGAGTCATCGTTTCAAAACGCTCATTTCTCACAATGGTGTGTTTGATACAAGATTCAAAGGTTATTCTACAGACGAGCTACGGTTCTCTGAGCACGATGTAGGTGGCTATACTCCATGGGCTAATCCCGATGCTTACGAACGTTATAATCCAGTTGATCCTGTTGCAAATTGGACTCAACCAATACTAATTATTCTCGGTGCTCGTGATTATCGTGTACCAGATACTCAAGGAATAAGTGCCTTTAATGCTTTGCAGCGTCGTGGCATCGAGAGTCGGTTACTTTATTTTCCCAACGAAAATCATTGGGTATTAAACACGCTTAATCTACTTGCCTGGTACGAACAAGTGCTAGGTTGGATGCACAAATGGACAAATTAGAATAATCCTATAGCATTTTAATTAATAATGTAATCAGTTCAATGTTAGAAACTTCTTTTTTTTTCGAGACTATGTTTTACCTCCTTATCAAACAACAATTATGAACTATGACGATAAGGTGTGGGTGTGGGTGCAAAGGTTTTTTATACCCACACCCACACCCACACCCGCTGGTTACGATAGGTGGTTAACTGTCGAAAACTGATTCTGTCGCCTCGCTATCCACTGTGCTACCATCCTCCCTCCTCAATCGTTAAGTATGAGACAAAATCAACGTTACTATTTACCTTTCAGCTCATTTTCAGTAGAATATGTAATTCATATATATGGGATTCATTTTTTCTATATTGTAACGTTCACTAGTCCGAAGGGAGGCTAAAAGCTGGTATTTTAGATGTAAAAGTCATCTTGAGATATGAAGCTTCTCTACCTAGGAAAACATCTGAGGTCGTTTTAGTGTTGACATCATTAATCGGCACATTCGATTCTATAGAATAAAATATTTCTGATTCAATTTAAAAAAAAAGGAATTTTTAGTATTTATGGAGGAGAATAGAGGTTCCAAACTCTTTTTTGTTTAGTAATTCGAAAAAAACCTATGCAATTTAATCAAGATTCGTACCTAACTCCATTTCAATAGAAGGATCTTGATTTCGTTGGGGATGGAAAAATAATCTTGTGTACCCTAGCCCTTTAACATCTTTCGAACGTTAAATTGATATTATCGTGATCTTTTCATCGTCGGTTCAAAGCCAATAATTTAGTAAAAATAATAATATATAGTACACTTGTTGGGCTCATGAGTACGAGCGGACAGCAAGCATGCCAACTCGTAGATATTATCTACTTATCCGCAGTCACTCGTCGCCACGAAGAAAGGAGAGAAGCCTTAGGAGGCGTTACATTTCTTAACTCTATTTCATGATGTCCAGGGGATATCTCTTGCACTTTCACGACGTTGAAAAGGTTGAAAGGTAGTACCAGTACTTCTTCTTCATCAGCAAATTCAGTTATTGGTGGGAGATCAGGTGATATACGATTAAGATTAATTGCGGTGCTACATTTCGTGGGAAAACTAAAAATGAGCAATAGAGTGAAATTGTTAGTAGACGGATCACCAAACATTTCGGCTGCGCGTCGATTTAGCGAGGTTGACTGTATTGTACGTGTTTCAAGTACGTATTTGCTATTTTGTAATGCCCAGCAGTATTCGCGCAGTGCCAATTGATATTGATTCATGTCTGAAACAACGATACCGCGATATGTTTTGCCACGAAATGCTCTACGAGCAAACTTGTCCATATGCAGAAAAATGAGAGAAGCAAAGGCGTTTGTCTCGTATTGCAGCACTGAATAGAAAGGTATATCGAAAGTGTAAAGAGTGAGAAGTTTCTCTTCATCGTTCTTTTCAGTGTATGATTTATATAAAGCGAGTGCCTTCGCTTTCTTAGTTGCACTCACATCACTCGTGCTGCGCAATAGAAGATCGTTGATAATAGAGCGGGCTTCACTTTCTATGCGTGTGCGCAGAAGCTTCGTGATAAACCTAGGCGCATGCGCAATGGCTAACATGAACTGTGCATTGTATGTCTCGGAAGGCGATGAGTAGCCACGATTCCAGTCATTGGGAATCGAATTATTAGTAATGCTCAGCTCATCCATTGGTTTAATGTGAAACTTTGAAGAAGTCTGAGCGGTGTCGACAAACCGATCTTGTGAATGACGCGCGAACAGTGCACGGACATTGTGAGAATATGCCATCTCATATGGGACCAATCCCGCTTGATTCACACTTGTTCTCAGGTACAAATCAGACTCCAGAAGGCATCGAACGATCTCTGTTTGATCTGCTGAGCATGCGATATGCAGACCATTATTATGGTATTCATCCTTTTCCTCGCCTGTCATTGAAGGTAATAAGAGACGAACTCGTTCAATATTTCCTCGGCAACAAGCATCGAGAAACGAGGAAGATGAGTTTTCATGGATTGTGGCAGACGATGTACTACCCATAATTGATTCAAGCCTGTGGACGTTACGTTGTTTATCTTGTCGTATGAACCAGTGAAGTATTTAGAATATTTTGTAAAACACAATCTAAAACAAGTATTAAAGTATATAGAGTGGAAATTTGAATGCACTACTACTGTGTTCCCACAGACAGTAATAGATAATATCATCAGTTATATAGTTCATTAACTAGTTACTTCCTGGCTAATTAATTAGTTAAACTCTAATTATTTAACTAATTCGCCTATAATTTATTGAATGTTCATCACAGACTGTGACGAAAAGGTTCCACATCATTTACAGACCATGACACAAGGCTTCTAAGAACTGTCGAGCATCATGAAAAACGAATATCTAATTGAAATCTATCTAAAGTATTTAGATACTGAAGATCTGTATGATGCAGTAAGTAATGATGAAGAATTATGCTCATACCTAGACAAAAAAGACTAGTTTTTAGGGATCACAAACAATATCTAGATCATGTTTTACATTCTGATTCCGGAAGGATTGCACTAACAATTTTTTCTTTTGTTTTCTGTGTGATATTCCACGAATCAATTATCATGAGAGACAGTGGAGAATAGGAATGTCAATTACGTTTAGTTTTCATTGAATTTATGCATAAATTAAATAATAAGTAATTTATATTTATTATAAATTAAACAATAAATAATTTACATTCATTATAAAAATAAATTATTTTGTTCCAAAATTTATATTTATTCGTAAATATAAGTTATAATAATTTATATTTATTTTTAAATATAAATTTTGCAAGAAAATCATTTACATTTATAATAAATATAAATTATGAGAAACTTATGTTTATAATAAAGTAAGTGATAAATAATAACCCTTTCTGGTGGAGAACGTATGGGTAAAATAGGCTGCATACCTCATTAATCCCGAGACGACGCATTATAATACAAAAATATATGCGATAAAGCCACGTGTGTCTCTTGAAGCAAGAAATAAAAAATAAAACGATAAAAAAGTATGGTGCACAATTCATCGTCACACATCAGTGAATACTCAATCAAATCAAATGATATGGTGAGTGTTAGTAGATTGGAGTATAGATCTTCTCTTTTTTTTTCATCTTCATATTTCAACTTTGAATTGTTTATGATGATATAGTCGTAGTCGAAATGATAAGATCAACTGTTCGAATGTGATTCTTTGTTTTTTTCTTTAGTACTATGTACTTTTTAGAAAAGAAAAGTTGATGTAATTTTCTACATTTGACTATGCTCTTCTCATAAATACAGCTAGATCTCCTTTAAGCTATTGACAACTTGAAGAAAATAAATCTTTCAGGCCCTCTCAAACAACGCACATTTCCTTAGAATCAATGAAATTGTGATAAATACATAGGACTATGGTCTTTTATTTTCTCTTTCATAAACGATCAAAAGTTTTCGGAAAAGAAGAGGTATCGATGAAAAACTTTCAAGATTTTAGACAGCCTCTATTCAAAAAAACAACGATTTTGAAAAAATCCAAAAGCTTTTTCTTTTTTCTCAAAGTGGTAGTCAAATGACACATTTCTAGCAAAAGTCAAATATTGTTTTGTTTGAAAGAGCATGAATAACTGTAGTGCCTATGAGAACTTTTTTTCTGATGAAGCTGTATTGTTTTTATATTAGCAAGTAACCTTATTACACAAGTGCCATTTTTTGAGGGAATTTTACGTAATTGAAATTGTGAAACCATTTTTCATAAATATAAAAATTTAAAAAAGACTTTCATAGGCACTGTATCCTGGTTTTTTTTTCAAATGAAAAAGCCATCAACCATATTGAATGAACACCTACTGAGATTTTTTGGAGACGCGATAAGCTATTCTTCCAACCTTTTTTGGTTCTTATGTATCTTTTACATCAGGATAGGTATCTAAAAATTTTACCACAGATGTCCTTTTACACTCCAACATATTCTCAAAGTCCTATGTGATATTTCATAGCATAGTTTCGGTTTGAAATTTTCCGTTGAACATTTTCATGTCATAAATCTAACGACTTTTTGAAGTAATGAACATCTGAAGTCAAGCAGATTGCATATGAAAGAGAATAGTCTAGTGAGAGAGTGGAATTAAATGTGGCAGAGACTAGCTGCGAGTAGTATCTCTGAAAGACATCGACTCAGTAATGATCTGTTGTGCTAAAGAATTTGTTGAAGAATTATATCCGACTATTTCAAATCATCAGAAAAAATTCGACTGCCTAAGCTTCACAGAATTCAACGGAACGCAGATGTAGCAAGAAACTGACAAATAATTCCAGTAAAATAGTATAGAATTCACATAAAGAAAATTTCTATCGAAAGTGTTTTTTGACGTTGTACATACCATTCAACAGAGAATTTCACGACGAGCAACAATACGTGTTCTCTGAAATTGTTCAAGGCATTTTTTTCATTGAAAAAATCAAAAGATTGAAAACTGTAAAAAACGAGATATTTTGCCAATTTTTTTATAACGTTGAATTTTTCCAGTTTCATGTCAACTTGGATTATTCACCTTGTCCTGTTCTTGTTCACCTTTCAAAACTGAATTATAAAATGATTCAAAAGCTATTTCAGATCCAAAACCTATCCGCTAAAGCCGTCGAAAGCAAAGCAATCAAAATTTCCACGGCCATTCTTGCTAACTCATCATAAATTTTTCTTGAGATACTACCGTCATAATGTAGTTCATTTTAGACTTTATTTGGATGCACCATGAGCGTGTATCTAACATCAAATACTCACAAGTGCCCAAACTTTTTGAAATATTCGATGGTAGCTTTCTTCAGAGTTGCAAAGCAGCATTTAAAATCAAAGTAGTCGAATATATTCGGTCGAGAAGCAAACAAGTAATATGAACGAGTGTTGCTTGTTTTTTGTTTCGTATTAATAGAGCGTTATGTTCTATTATTAATTCAAAGCACTGAAACAACCTGCAGTCTCATATATAAAATATATCCTCATATTTTACATTGAAAATCTTC